ACGCAAAGCAGACAAACAATCAACTTACGTAGTTTACAACCAAGGAAACTGTGGAGACGTCGATTCCACGAGCGAGAACGTTGGTCGTGATGAGAACCTTAGCCTCACCGCTGCGGAAGGAATCAATAATCGCGTCACGCTGGGATCCCTCGACACCACCAGTCAATGAGGCGACGGTGTGACCCTCAGCAACCATACGCTTCTCAATCTCAACGGCAGAGGCGCGGGTCTATACGGCGATCAGCAATATTCCAAACTTAATCTGAGACGATACCTACCCGGACGAAAATGATTGAAGACCCGACAGTGAGCAGTCCGTAGAGCTGGACGAGGTTCTGGTATTTCTCCTCTTCAGTGCTGCAATCCATATAGAGTTGTTTGATGCCCTCAACGGTCAACTCCTCATGTTGGAGGGTGATCTCGTTTGCGGCAGGAGCAAACTTGCCCGCGTAGCGGTAGACGTGAGCGGGGAAAGTCGCGGAAAACAGGACGATTTGAACATTTCGGGGAATCATCCTACCCAGGACTATTAGCTGAAAGCTTTAAATGCCGAGGTTTGAGAGTACTTACGCCTTGGCCCGAATGCACTGGTCTCCCAGGCCTTGCTGGTCAAGCATGTTATCGGCCTCATCCAGGACAAGCACCTTCAAGCCGATAGGGTTCATAATACGCTTCTTGATCATATCCTGGACAGTACCGGGTGTGCCAACGACAACTGAGCAGTCCATCTTCGACGGGCGAGCATTGGAATCGGCAGGAACAGCAGTGCCGATGATGAGACCATCAAGGAACTGACCCATAATCTGGATCACGCCGACAATCTGGCGAGCCAATTCACGGGTGGGAGCGAGGATCAGAGCTTGCGGCGTCATCTGCATCTGCTCCGTCGAGAGGTCGAGACGACTAAGAATGTTGAGAACGAAGGCTGCGGTTTTGCCGGTACCGGACTGCGATTGACCAACCAAATTCTTCGGGGGGTTGCTCATCAGGAGGGGAAGGGCACGCTCCTGGACCTTGGACGGCTTGCGGAAGTTCATGGTCGAGAGACCTTTCAGGATGCGCGCATCTCTAGTGTGTCAATCAAGTTAGCTTTGAGACACTCGCTTGCACAAGATATCAGTGAATAGCACTCACAGGCCCAGATCTTCAAAGCTCTTGACTGAGAACAGGGGGTTGTTGGGGTCCGCTTGCAAGTCACTCAATTTCACCGCAACAGTGTAGTCGGGCTCCTCAAGATTTGCGGAACCCTGCGCGGGGGCAGAGGCCCCGTCCTCCTTGGGGGCGGCGGAGACATTGGAGGTATCTGTAAAATCAAAGAAAAGAATATTAGCATCAGTCGGGGTAGCGCGCGTTTTCCGGTCGTATCGACTGGAGGAATCAGCGACGGTGGCAGTCTCGTTTCGTACCGGTGGGCTTCGACTCGTCAGGCTTGGTGATGCGGTCAGCCAAGGAGCCCGCAGCAGGGGTGGTCTCTAGATTATCAGACATTGTACAAAGTCTGGGTGGGTATCTCGAGAGACTTGGAGAAGGAAAGGTGGAGGGGTGGTCGTGGGGTAAAGAAAAGTTCGAAATGGATTAAGATGAGCGCAGGGGATTTAAGGCGCCAACTCAGGATGACTTCAATTAAGTCCCAGGAGGAATGGAGGAAAGAAATCAAAAATCCAACCCAAGGAGAGAAGAGCAATAGCCAAAGAAAACAATAGCTCTCTCACTGAATGGAAGAAAACAGATGACGCCGAAGGATAGGAACTAGTCCGAATTGAGTCAAAGTGAAATAAATGAAATGGTATTGTAATATATGGGCAGGACACATATTAACTACCAGCAACGTGTATGTTCGGTATTGTCACAGAGGCCGGGCTTCTCCCCGCCTTGGCTATTGAGCTCATTCTTCCTGTCTGAATGGCCTTATTAGCCCATTGAACACTGCTTAATTGGAGACGTCAACTATTTTGGCTGACACCAGACAAGTGGCTCATTGACGAGCAGTGCTGACACCAGGCAACCCGATCTCATTGTTCGGTCTTCCATTCCCGCACTGTCCCATGCGCGTCTGCCTTGGGATCTTAATCCAGCCATGGCGGCCGCAGACGTTGCTCCCCAGTTTGGAGCAGAGTTAAAGGTATCGGTACTCTACAGTGATAGTCGCATATACATAACTAACTGGGTTAATTTGTCTAGGATTCTTTTAAACCAGTTAACAGTTGGGTACGATCCTGATCTCATTTCCCCGCAACGAACCCGTCAGATCACCTTATGTGCTTGAAGTGGAGCTAATGCAAACATGTTGCACAGGTATCGAATGGCATATCATGGGTAGACGAGATACACCAATTTTACCGCGAGCGTAGTGCCATTGAGAAGGAGTACGCATCCAAGTTAACGGCCCTTTGCAAGAAGTACTATGACCGCAAGTCGAAGAAGATCAGCCCTTTGAGTGTGGGCGATACACCCACCTTAACCCCCGGCTCCCTCGAAAGCGCATCGCTCACTACATGGACTACACAATTGAACGCCGTGGAATCCCACGCTGCCGAACGAGACAAATTTGCCTCAGAATTGGTAGTGCAGGTGGCGGATCCTCTGAAACAAGCTGCCGCCCAATATGAAGAGATCCGCAAATGCCACGTTGAATATCATGGAAAGTTAGAAAAGGAACGGGAGGCAGCATATGGTGATCTCAAGAAAGCCAAGGGCAAATACGATGGCGCATGCCAGGAGGTTGAATCTCGCAGAAAGAAAATGGAGTCCGCTTTTGACCATGGCAAGAGCAAAGCACAAGCAGCATATCAACAACAAATACTGGAGATGAACAACTATAAGGCATGGCTCACGCAACCGCGAACTTCGTGTCCTGATGCTAACTTGCGACTAGAACCTCTATCTCATCAGCATCAATGTGACAAATAAGCTCAAGGAGAAATTTTACCATGAATATGTCCCTGAGGTGATCGATGTAAGATGGACCTTCCACTCCCCAGACCCCGGATCGATTGTACTCATATTTCCGGCCAGGGTTTACAAAACCTCAATGAAACACGAGTCGCAAAATTGAACTTGATGTGGTCGCTCGCCGCCCAACTTGAAAAGGCATCTCTTTCAAATAGCACAGAGCACATGGCCAATCTTCTTGTCGAAATTCCTCGCAACAACCCGCACCTAGACTCCATGATGTTCCTCCAGCACAATGTGACTCAGTCGCAGGAACCTGCCAACCTAGGATTTGAGCCGAGTCCAGTATGGCACGATGATGCTTCAATCATCGCCGATGAGGCAGCCAAGGTCTTCCTGCGCAACGTCCTGAGTAAGAGCAAAACTCAAATCCGCGAACTACGGGTCGAGTCGGACCGGAAGAAGCGCGAGGTTGAAGGAAGCAAGAAAGTGCGCGAAAATATTCAACATGGCAAAGATAATCGAAACGAGTTAGATGTCGTGCGGTCCATTTTCTACATTCAAGAATCCCTGCACGAGGTTGACCGCAAGTGGGTTACAGCCGAGGTAGAAACGGCAACTATCATGGCAGTGGCTGGAGATTTGTCGTTGGGGGCCCAGAACCACAATTTCCGCTCTCAGACATTCAAGATCCCGACAAATTGCGATCTTTGCGGTGAGCGAATCTGGGGCCTGTCCGCCAAGGGCTTTGATTGTCGGGATTGTGGTTACACCTGCCATAGTAAATGTCAAATGAAGGTGCCCGCGGAGTGCCCGGGTGAGCAAACGAAGGAAGACAAGAAGAAACTCAAGGCCCTGCGACAGGAACAGGCTGGTGCCATGCCTGCTGTGGACATCGGCACCCCTACGGCTTCCACTGCCGCCCCGTCCCTGACGCGACAAAACACAATGAACTCTCTTAGTTCAGGATATGCGGCCAGTACGGCTCGGTCGGTATCGAACGTTGCTACTCAGCCCACAGCAGAAAGCCCAGCAGAGGAGCCTCCAGCCCCCGTTGCAGAGACAAAGCCAGCTGCCACTGCCCCAAGGAGGAACCGGGTGCTAGCACCACCTCCGGCAGCATACATGGCTGCACCTCCACCGAGCGATTCTGGCATGAGCTCGAAATCCAAAGAGCCACGAGGTAAGATGCTGTACGCGTATCAAGCCACCGGCTCGGATGAGGTCAGCGTGGAAGAGGGGGATGAAGTGATGATCCTCGAACCAGATGGTACGTCCTCTTATCCTACCGTTTACGCCAATTTATTAACAATTGCACAGATGGTTCTGGATGGATGCGTGTGCGAGCCGGAGCCAACGAAGGACTTGTTCCGGCTTCATATGTCGAAGCCGCCCCAACGCCATCGCCCGTGCCATCCGCTAGTCCCAGTATGCCTGAGCGACCTGGGTCAACCTACTCGAATTCCTCGGCATCCCTGGCAGGAAGCGCGGCGCCGAAGCGTGTCGGTCCAGCCGTCGCGCCCAGACGAGGAGCCAAGAAATTGCAATATGTCGAGGCATTGTACGACTACGAAGCCCGCAGCGATATGGAGTGGAATATGGCAGAGGGTGACCGCTTTGTCCTGATTAACCGGGATAGTGGCGATGGATGGGCGGACGTCGAACGGGGTGGCGTTACGAAGAGCGTTCCGGCAAACTACATCCAGGAGGTGTAGTTGGCCTCCGTGCATTTTTTTTTCAGATCGGTTGCCACTTGTCTGTTTCCTTATAACGTCCAGGCTTGCTTTCTCTTATTTTTGTTCACTCTGTATAGTCGGCGTATCAGTGCCGTTCCGTCATTTACATCAGCGAGGAGCATTGGGGGCATTCGTGCTTGCATCCATTCGCGAGACTCGGATAGAGCATAGGACACGTTGTTTCCATTGAATCCACATGAAAGTTAAAACTGTCCCCGTGGGTAGCAGTGCAGATGTAAGAGATATCACAAACAGCGGAGCCAATGCTTCCACTCTTCCATTTTGTATATACGTCTTCAACCTCTTCCAAGAGATAAAATCATCAATCATCATGCGAGTTATTGACCGGGTTCGCAGCCCGGACCCCTCATGTTATTGGGCCGGTGGAAATCCGGTATCCAGATGCTCAAACCCTGTCTCAGCCGACCACATATACCTAGACCAGTCCTCCACATGGAACATATCCTCCATAGCCGGCAAGTCCAAATCCATATTGATGTCGACCTCATTCAAATACCCCAAAGTGCTCTCACCCAGTTCCAGCGCAGGGTCCAGCGAGAAGTCAAAGGGGTGCACCCCATCGAGCGGACTAACCACAGGCAACGTCTGCGCAGGCTGGGCCCCCGAAACCGCCAAAGAAGGCTGCAGAGAATACGCCGGATCGAACAAAGCCGCAGCCGTACCCTCCTCCTCGGAAACGGGATACTCATACAACGACCCGGGCGCCGAATGCGAAAGCGAACCCTGCTCAGCGCTAAGCGTCCGACCCGACTCTAACCCCGGCACCGCCGACCCCGAAAACGACACAGTATGTCTAGCGGAATCAACCCTAGACACCGAGCCCTCGGAGCCAGACCAATCACCCGCCGCATCGTGGTAGATAGTCGTCTTTCCAGGCGACGAAGCGGACGAAGTCGAACAGGCCGACTTCGACCCAGACCTGAACTTGGACTTGGACTTCGAGGTTGTCACTGCGGAGACATTCTTCCCCGACGAGATCGAGCCCGTTGGACTTGGACCTGGTCCGGGACGTGGGGCAATGGGGAGGAACCCGTTCGGATTTTGCCGATGGATTCTTCCGCTCGAGGATTTCTAGAAAAAGAGCAAACACCAATCAGTACCATGGCGTTTGCAATTTCTCTTCTTTTCTTTTTTCTTTCTGCCGTGGGAATTCCGGGTTTGGCTTTGTTTTTGTGTTTGCGTTACTTTTGGACATTTGAGCTCTGCGTCGCGCTTTGCGCGGGCGTGCTCGATTGGAGATGTGCAGGGTGTTGCGTTGCACATTGTGCATGTTGCGAAGGGGCGGCCTTTGCGCTTGATGCGGATCAGTGGTCGATCTGGTATTTGTTATGGTTAGTTTTTAGCTTTGGGGAATAGGGAAATGGGGATGTTTGGGTATAGTATTTAGTATACTAGAAGTATGGGAAAGAAAAGAAAATCCGTTGTGAATACTAACCATGATGTTTGCAGCTGGTCACACGGTGACCCCGTATACAAGCTTCACACGCCCACTTTTGACCGTCGATAAGCATACCTTAAGATGAGAGGTGGTGTGTGGATGGGGACAAGCTTATATACCTTTTTTTTCCCTGAGATCGTCCTATGTAGGACTGAGGGGTCAACCGGGATATTGAGATGACACAAATTTTTCATTTCTTTTTTTTTTTACTCATTACATATTCCAATACCTCGGAATCGATGTGTGCGAGAAACCCTATGATTCGATAGCCACAGGATCGACTCGGGCTGCATTTGGGGGGTTCAGTTGTGGCTTTGGCTTTTTCAGGGTATTTTTGCTTTCTTTCGCTTTTGACTGGAGCTTGGGCCATAGTTTCATCTTACTATGCGGTACTTTTGTTCCGGACGTGGGTCGCCGACAGAAAATACCAAAAAGGGTAAAACGGTTGGTACCTGGGTATACCTAGGTACTATTATAGTATGTACATATGTAGTCTTGGGGATAGCTGTACATACTATACGGAGTAGCTATGAGGGATTTTCGGTTGGAGAAGTCCCAGTTTATGCGAATAAATAAATTGATACGGGATCTTCTCCAATCTAATAATTTCCCTAAAATCGAATACTACCCAGATTTTAGAAATGCCTCATACTCTTATGTCTTTTCACGTGGATCTGAACTCGGCAATCGAGACGCCCGTTCCACCATGGGGCTGCACCTGGAGGTGGCTGTGCTAACCATTTTCCTATTAACCATTAACCGCAATAACCTGGGTTTTGTTTCATCTCTTCCTCTTGAATAACATATACTCAGCCCTTTCGTCCACTTATTCTCTTTGTATCTTCTTTTATCTCCTATTTCTCTTCTCTTCATATGTATTGAAAAGAAACGAGAAAAAAAAAAAAAAAAACAAGCTCCTTTCAGCTGTCGCGATTCCCACCAATCATAATGAACACAAAGGATCTTACCGCCCCACCTGCAGTATGCAGTATGCGCCATTTATATATTCCTGAGGCATTTTTCCTTTCCACTGGTTTTCTCAAGTTCTCAAAAGGATTTCTCGTTTCGACTGATTTCACTGATTTGACTGAAATAATTCTGCCTGTTGGCTCACTTGGGTCACACAGCATATGATGCGTTGGCCTTCTTTTTCTCCTTTTTTGTGCGGAAATCGCCTATCCCGTCAGAGGGGAAAAAAAACTTGACAGCATTCAACAGGTAGACCCTTCGACATCTCTGATTCCAAGTCAGCAAAGGATTCAAAAAAGTTATACTATCCTCAGACCCCGGGATAATGATCGTCTTCCCATGGACTTAGTCGATATTCGATATTCAGATGCATCAGCTAGGAACCGCCCACACATATTCGAATTCTCATAATCAATCCAAATACCTGGAAGACGAGCATATCCCAAGATAAGATGTCGGCCACGATTATCTCGATTGTACCAACAATGTATGATCGCGGGTGAGATTAACAATCGCGTTGACTCGATCGCTGCAGTTAACGTGTCAAGAGAATATCATCTGAGAGTCTCAAGAAGACCAGACTGACGCGAGGTGCGGACATGGCTATTTATATTAGTGTCCCAGCATTTCCCCTGAACGAGCAATATTGTCGATATTGCAAGGATTGCTTGGAACAGCCGTGCAGGGACAGCACCCCGTTCGCTGAGTTATATGGCTCATATCAATATTGATATGTTGCGCCCCCCCCTGGTTCAGACAGGGTTTTATATGGCGGTGATAATACCCTCGTCGGGTCTTTCGTTTCACCGCACGGTTGCTACTGGAACTTACCGAGGTAGTTACACCGACTATTTGACTAATGTAGAGTTTGCACCTCACGAGCATTCACGCATAACTGAACGTCTCAATTTGGATTTGGTGTTTCTTTCGATTCAAGCTCAAAGTAAAAGAATCACCAGGTCACTTCTCTACAATAAAGCTGCATGTAATAATAACATCGAAAGGGTCATCCAGGAGCATCTACTCGACCCAGATGATCGTCGCTAGAGATGCTTGCAGCGCGTCACATCCTCTATACCTTGTTGCAACTGTCCGTGACACGTCTCTGTGTGCCGGTAGAGTGGTTGATGGTTTTCAAAGAAATATCGGTCGTATAGCGACTCAGGGAGCTTGCCCTTACCGAAGAGATGTTCGAGAATCCACATAACGCCCACGTTGATCGGGATGGTCTTTACTTTGTCATCCAAGGCAATAGCAGGGTTGAAAACTGCTTCCAGTCCGTCGAGGCCGGCTAGCCAAAGCAGGCTGCTCAGAGGCCCAATCAACTCATCAAAATGATAAGTATTTGCATCCATGTGCTCTCCTATATCCCCGGGAATTTGACTTTCTCCCGGATCCCGTGCTCTCTGGACCATACCGGACGAAAGCCTACTTCTTCTAACCGGCTTGCGTTGGATAGCCGGCTTCGGCACCATGGTGAATGTGAATCGTTGATTCAGGTGCCAAACAACTCCAACACTGCGTGCCAGACAAGCGGGAAACCTCAAGCTTGGCAGCATCACTGAACGCGTTCGAAATGTCCGTTCGAGGTCGTGGATTTTCAATGCGATAAGATATGCGAGAAAAGGAAGCAGAGTAGGCAGGCGGAGGCATTGGAGCCTGGTCGTTCGAGTTCCCTGCCATCATTGTGGGCTATATAGACCTCGTGTGCTTGCTCATCGTGTGAGCGAGTTGATTCTGATTTCCCTCCATGTCAGAGGGTTTTCCTAGCTTGTCTTTGGGGATAGTAGGTGTTGTCAGGATAGTCGGTGTTCTGAGAGGTATGAGCTCGATTATCGGATGAGGAACTTGTACTGCTGTACCTGAAGGATGGCAGAGAGGAAATCGAAGGGTAAGTGAGTGATAGAGGAGAGGAAATTGAAGGCACAGAGTCTGTCGGACTTATCGAGTTGAAGTGTAAAGACTTGAATTCGAGTTTCATTCTAATCTTGGAATATTCATACATGTATAGCTTCGCTCTTGCCAAAATGGCACCTATACTTCATCTTGGCATTGTAAATAGAAATATTCGAATTATATTTGCCCCGGTCAACATTGCCAATGTACAGGTGTCCCTCTTCTCTAATCTAACCCCAGCATCATACGCAAACACAACAAGCAGTCATTCCATTAACTCATACATCCACAGGTGACTGCACCCACTGTCTTGTCTTAGGATCAAGACACTCTTCCTCCGCCTCTTTCCACTCCCTCAAGACCAAATCCGCTCTCTCCTTCGACCTCGACTTAATCCTCGCCGGGAACTCCTCAGGCATACACACAAATCCCTGCGTCAAACGATCGGGATCAGGCAAAATCGGTGTCCCCGCAGCATCAATCTCGGGCGCAATATCAAACGCCCACAGAATGCGCGACATGCCAAGGAACAGACTGCGCTCGGCAACATGCATGCCGGGACATATCCGACGGCCCGCACCGAAGGTGAAAACATCCCGCTTCGCCGGATCCGGGTTCGCCGCTGCCTCCCCGAAGCTCTGGTAGTCATCGTGGTACCGATCGGGATTGAATACTCGCGGGTTGGGATGACGAGCCGGATCCATGTGGATGCCCCACACGTTGTTCATCACCCCAGCCCCCTTGGGTATAAAGTACCCTTTGTACTCGTCGTCTTGTGTGACTGCGTGTGGAACGGCTCCGAGGATGGTCGTCGGCATCCAGCGGACTGTTTCTTTCATGCAGCCCCGTACGTACTGCAGTTCGGACAGGTCGTCCATAACGGGTAGACGATCTGAGCCCACTACCCTTTCGATCTCTTCTTGGGCTTTGCGTTGGATATCGGGGAATAGTAGCATGGCTTGAACGAAGGCGTATAAAGTGCTCGATGTCGTGTCCGAGCCGGCTTCTAGGAGAGTCCCGGAAATATAAGCTGCTTGGTCGTCGCTGAAACCGTCTTCTTTCTGCGCCTTGTACATTCCCGCGCAGAAGCAAGGCTTGATTGTGTTCTGTTCAACCTCTTCTTTTGCTCGCAGCCAATGGCTCAGATACAGCGCTTTCTCCTTTTTGTGGAGGTCTTTTGCTTTCTGCTGTGCTGGGAGAAGAAATTCGGGTAGTTTCCGTAGCCATGGAAAGAAGTCAATGATTGCTGCTGTTCCGGTTTGGTTGAGGTCGGCGAATTCCGAGAAGCCGTTGAATAATTGCATCATTTTCTCGTCTTCGTATGTAGGCGTACGCCATCCGAAGACCATCGTGGTCGTCAGGGCGTTTGAGTAGCGTCGAATGTGCTTCAGGAATCCTTCTGGCTCTGTTAGGAGCTGGTATAGCATTTGACGATTCTCTAGCATTTGGTAGGGCAGATATTTCTTGGATGTCGTAACGTTAAGCAAGCCATGCACCATTTTGCGAAACTAGAATCAAGTTAGCAGAAGTATTGCAATGATTATCACTCTCAAGTCGTGCATACCCCACGCCATGTTGGTCCGTAGCCCTAAGATGGAAGGTCTAGTTAGCTACAAGACACACCCGAAAATCATTTTGCTTGGCTTCACGGCTTACCATCATCAACATTCTGAGATCACCGCTGCACAAGATCTGGCCAATATATAGCTCTGGGCGGTGTGAATATATACCACTTCTTTTATCCAAAAGCTCTTTGACTGCCTCGTCACTGGATAGCACAATCAGACACTTAGTGCCCAGCATCAAACTGTAAATTGGGCCATATTCACGAGCCCATTTTTCGAATTGGAGATGAGCATCTTGGGAGGGCATCTGAAGACTAAAAGTTAGTGCCAAGTCCCTCATTTGGAGGCACTTTATCGCATACTTGATGAATATTCCCCAAAATGGGCCATGTTGGAGGACCAGGGGGATAGTTCTTTGGTCGACGTCCGATCCTGAGGATGCGCGAAAGAAGTACGACAGCAATAGCTGCCCCTAGTACCACGGTAATTGGTAGCATTTTAGATGCTTGAGGATATTTTCACAGCCTAGTAAATCGAAGCTGCACTCCTAAGAAAAAGATTGACATTGCGATCAAAGTATCCATAGAGATATTCCTCCAGATATAAATACTATTGCTTGGATCCCTATTTCATGTTCTAGCATGGCTCAACCCTAGTATATTTGTCGATCTCGGAGCGGAGTGGGTTGTGTGTATACCTGCGGATGCGGAGGTGGGCGTCGGAGTACGTCGGAGTGCATGTGGGGGGGACCGTCATCGAAATGCATTGCCTCGACTCTTTCAATGGTTATAGCGGTCTATCATTGTAGACTAATCTTTTTAAGGAAAACTCCCTCCAAAAGGAGTTGTGCTAATGTTGAAGGTCCAATGCTCTTAGGCAATAGTGAGCCGGCGTGAGTCTTTCTGATCGATGTAAAATGGCATGGCAAAAGTTTTTGTCAGGGCATAGAGATTTATATAGTTTAGAATAGCTTCGTCTTCATCTCCTTTTCCTATCTTAAAGGGCACAATCACACTCTTATAGTCTTTTTTTGGTGTCTTTTTAGTTGTCTTCTTTCCCGTCCTAGTGGTATAGCGGGTTATTGAACCTTATCTAGGTACGTATAACTTCACAGAGAATACTGCGTATATAGGACGCGTCATATACGTAACCGAAGAGAAAAGTCTTCACTAGGCCGCGCCTCATCAGTTATACTTGTGAGCTTGTGGTATACTGCCCAGAGCAAACGAGAGCAAACGACTGCACTCGTTTGCTCTCGTCATTACCACCTCACATAGTCGCAGCATTGAGTATCCTGCTTATCTCAAGGGACGTCTCTACTCCACATTTGACAGCAACATGCCTATACTGACCTCTCCTACCCGTGCTTTTATAGACGAGGGTCTATCAAACGGTGCCCGCCCGTTTGGCCAGAGACTATTCAAAAACAGATGCTTTCGGTGATGCAGTGCTAAAGTCCAATCACACCCATTTAGAATACTGGTATATCTTTGAGATTACCGAATAAGCACATGATAGGGCAAACCAGGAAGAATGTGATCACCTATCGAAAATATGGAACGGTATACGGGAATACAGTCAGTCTGATATTTAGGAGCAATACCAAGTAAGACTTGAAATGTATATCTCGGTCCCATGTCCGATATAGAAGCTGGTTGTGGATCTTCTGCCTAGACTGGATGGGCTAACCAACCTTTAAAGCTCATGGTTATCGCACGCTTACACCCCTTCCTGAGGACAATAAGATCGTGCTCAAAACCACTGATATTTGTTTTATTTGCCATATTCAGAATATACCAGTGGAGGCGCAGTAAAAATCAAAGCCTGCAGTGTGGATTGAGTGAGTGGAGCCAGAAGATAATGCCAAGTACAGGGTGGAGGAATCCTAGAGCACTGAAAATAGCTTTGCAATACAGACATAGATGCATTTTAGCTGCCTAGGGCTGTGAATTCGAAAAATTAACTCAAGCCCGAAATAGTTTCCAAGTGATGTGCACAAGAATAGTCGGTCGTGGTCTTGTTAGTGGTCTTTCTAGATTATCTGGTAATATAGGTATTCCCTGCCACTTCTCATTTTGATGCGTAGCTAGCAGGAAAGGGCCAGAAAGGCTTAATTTGTGAAAGGGAACTTTTCTTTGTATGCCCTTTGACCGTTGATTTATAATCGTATGGGAAGGATTAAGGTAGTTTTTAACTTGGCGATGTGATTTGCTTACGGCTACCCGGTGGATCTCTTGGCGCGTCAACAGCTTGCATCATTGTCGATTTCAATCCTGTTGCCTCCAATGTTCTCAAGCAATTGTACGTTATTTCTGGCTCTGGAATTATGGACTGGGGAATGGCGGTCTGAGAGCTTTGTAGCTGGGCAAAGTCTAAACAGCATATTCACTCCTAGTTAGTATGATTTCTTTAGAGTATGCAGGGTTGAGGTATTAGGGAGATGCAACAGGGAGCAAGCAAAGCTGTGTCTTGTGACTACTTGCTTAATGTGTCCGTAAGGAGGGCACAGGTATAAGGAAATATATGTATATCCACTGTCATCAAGTCGGATAAACAAGGCTTAACTCCGTGCCAAGACCACTCAGCCACGGCTATACGTGATCCAATAAGCGCCAAGAAGTCATCCTCATGGGCCTTGAGGGAAACAAAGGTAAAAGTAAACTTCAGCCCAGGAAATTAGGTCAAAACTCAAATTAACCTCGAAAGCCTCTATATAAACCAACTGACACCCCAAATTTCCCCGGATCAGCGCACTTACCCATTGCAAAGCTGTCCGGGTGAACTTCGAACCCTTCACTTGTTTCACCAGAATGCTCTTTCGCCGTTATTTACCACGTTCTTCGTCCTCCTCTTCAGCTTCCTAGCTATCGGTACGCCGATAGGCGTCCGGTCTCTGCGGAATCCTGGGCCTGACAACACCCTCGAAGCTACGTCTCAGACGATATTACAACCGCAACCATTTCACGATGCGGCATCAGCAAATGCTCTTCACCCGAGAGTAGAACAAAATCGCG